TGTAGGCCCCTCTTGATCTTGAGGCCCTAGGCTGAAGCCTAGTTAGCCTATAGGGAAATCCGGCCCTGGTCACAGTATCCCCATGGTCATGTGATCAAGATTCAGGCACTTCAACAACCAGCAGACATTTACCAGTCCTCACTTATGACAGCTGAAGCGTCCTGTCATATGATCACCATTTGAAACCTTCTCTGCCAGATTCCCACAAGCAAAGGCAACGGAGAAGCTGGTAGAGAAGGCCACAAGTTACTGCAATAAGTCACTTGCATCCGCCGCGCCCCCCCCCCACCAGCAACCGTGTTGGTCACACGTACCCTAGCAGCAAGCACTTCGGCCCTGCCACACCTGTACTATGCCTCACCAATCATTCTCATGCCCTCCCTCACCCAATAGCAGGCAACCTAGCCCTGCCGCGCTCATCCTAGTCACCCAAAACATCCTGTCTTACCCAGTGGCAGCCACGTGTTTCAGTACTTGTGAGCCCACCAGAACTTTTGACTTCCATCAGGCTTCACCACTGACTTTCCTTGTTGGAACCCAGCATCAAGTTGCAAGGATATCCTTGCTTAATGAGTTGCAATCCTCACTTAACAACAGCAACAGATTGTGCCAGGATTGCTGCCACTAAGCCATGTGGTCACGTGACTTAACAACTGAATTGCTTAGTAATGGACATTTCAGTTCCAAGTAAAATAGTTAAGCGAAGACTACCTATTCACTGGTTCGGCCCCTTTGTCTTCTTCGCTTCTATGCTAACCACTTTCAAGCTAGTATCCTCCTGGCTAGACCAAATAGGAAGCTCTCCATGTCATCTATTGTGCTATATCATAGTTATCTAAGGGAGATCAGAAAGAGAACATTTACATATAATTGGCTTACAGGACAGGAATTCCTATCTTAGTTTATTTTTAGACATACTGAATTTTTCATACCATTCATGCTGATTTACCGCCGCTTCTCCGTTATAGTTTAAAACGTATTACTTCAAGATCATATATCATTGTTTGTAACACACACACACACAAATATTTCGCCAGATTAAGGGTTTTCTCAATTAATCTGGAAACACATTTAAAAACTAACCTATATGTTTGCTTTTAAGGAAGTGGTATTTCCTTCCTTCCCTTGCATATGAAACAAATATTCTTTTAAGATAACCTTATTTAGAAGCAAGATACATCCCCTCTCAGCAGTTTGCTCCTCTTGACTTCCAAATTATATTATAGTGAGAGAGAGAAATTTAATTGAATTGCTCTTTATTGGAAGGAAGTTTTATAGTGTATTTTTCTTTTTCTTATCCTTGTCAGTGGGAGTCCAGTACTTGGAAAAATAAATAGCCACACCTGAAAAAAATCTAACCTTAGTTGAAAGTTAATCTAGTTTATATAGCTGTGCAAATAAGTACATAATAAATATAAAAGTGAAAAGCAAGTTTTACAGAGGACATGAGACACAAATAGCTGATTAATTAGAATGCTTTTAAAATATGATCCCTTTTTCGGTAATGCACTGCTCTTAAAATCCTCTGGCTCAACAGATTTCCTTCCATCCTTTATTAACCCAGATGCATAAGAAGATTATTCCAATAAAAAGTTAAGAAGATAAGCATTCTTATAAATGGAAAAATTGCATAAAATAGGGAGCATATTTACCATTATAATTCTGTTCCCAGATTAGTCATCTTTGCTTCCTCGTTTTGTTTTGTTGTCTACAAAACAAGTAAGAGAAGAAAAAAGGTATTTCATTTCTCTTTTCAATCATTCAGTTAAAGGAAAACTTAAATCATTCTAAGTATAAATCCCTTCACAATGTTCTTGGACCCCCACTAAAATGAAAAACCGCAATTCTGCACTTGCTAACACTTAAATGCTGGTTTGCTCATACAAAGCCACAAGATTAATTACTTTTTGAATTCAACAACTAAGAATGGTTAGAAATGGCCCCGAATTCAGGAGGATATATCAACATTCCCCAAGTATTATTTCTCTCGTGGCTTTCGCATAGCAATCATCTGAATTAAATTCTTAGGAGACTAAAATAGTTTTTTTTTCTTGTGACAACAATCTTGTTTGCTTTCATTTTATTCTGAAACTGA